CTTTTCCCTTTCTCCAGGAGGCACTATGATATGTCCAGAAACATTGTAGGACAAGTAGGATTTTCTGTGACTGTAAAGTAGCAATTTAGAAGAAAGTCTTATGTCTGATTGTATTGGAGCCTCTATCTCAAGTGTTAGACTTTATAAAAATTGATGTCTGTTAGAGAAGCCAAACATATAATCTAATGAATAAGGAGGGCATGTTCCACAGGCCCTGGGATAATAATGGCAGGGGTTCTTCTCCTTACTGGTCATCATCTCCTGCTTCTGAAGACGTAGTTACAGATGCTTTCATTGGCACATGATTCTTCCCTTGTCACTTTAAACCCAGAATAGAAATTATGTGGCAGTATTGAAATGTGAAATTCTCTTAGTCCTTCCCAATTTTATGAATGGTCTGTTCATGCAATTGATCTCAATGAGTTCAGATTAATTAAGCTGTTTCCTCTTTTACATATTTCAGATACTTAATGTGAATCATTTTGAAAAGCAAGTAAATCAGTGAAATCAAGTTCACAACAACATATATCTGGATAAAATGCCTACCTGTCACCTTGTTCCTTAAATTCATGTAGAAATTGCCATTCTTTCTAGGAAAGCAGGTTTCAAAAGGTGAATACAGGAGAGCTTATGGGGAGATGGATCAGAAGGGAGAAGGTTCTGGGAATTCCCATTTTGAAACCCAATAGTCAGTAATGCCAGAACCTTGTTTCATGAAAATTATTCCCGTTTCTTGCTTTTTCGTGAAAAAACTTACATATAACACCACAAGGTAGAAAAAAGGGGCGGGGTTGTACTTTGAAAAAAAATATATAATTCAAAAGGGAATGAAAAAGTCTAGGCATATTGACTTTCATTTTGTGCATTTTTCTACCCAGAGTGGAGTATTTACCCAGGATGTAGGGGGATAGCCTTTATAGGACTGAGAGAGGCCAGTGGACCCTTTTTCATTCTCTATCTGGAAAATGCCTAGAAGAAATGTCATGAAAGATGGTGACCAAAAAGCAATGAACTTATTGAACAGCCCTGCTATTTCCTGTACTGTACTTTGGGCAAGTTAGAGTCCAGAGTCATTCTAGGTGTGGGCCATTACCAAGTCAGTTTTGATTGCTGTTCCATTTCCACTCACTCAGGCTTTTCCATCCCAAGAAGCTCAATTTCCTGCAAGTCATTGTTGTTATTGATCCTTACATAGCCACTGTAATCCTAGGTAGCCATGTTAGCAATGTAATCTTGCAATGTGGTTTTTTGAACCTAAGGAATAAACAATATATGAAAAGGTCTTTAAGTATCACCATGGCTCATCCCCATTTTTTAGTGTGTTTTTTTTTCATTATAGAATTAATGCATTCCTGTGTTTGATTTCTTTCTCAATCACAAAGTATCATTTAAGTGAGTATACCTGAATCCTATTCTCCATTGGCCTTCACAAACTAAAATTTCCATGCTTCTTTCTATTATCATTATCAGCTCTGAATAATAAAAATAAACATCTATTTTTAATTTATCTGTATGATCAATTGAATCAATTTATGTCCCAAAATAAAGAGTTCCGCATACATCCAACCTCATTCCTCTTGCCTCCAATTAATGAAATTGTGGTTTACCTCATTTGACATAGATATTAAAATTTCATTCATCTCCTACATCTTTCCTTCTTCTTCTCATGTACCAGTCAGAGCAAGCTATTAGTCACTTTGTAGATGACATTTTAGCTAGAACCTTTTCCCAATATTCAGAAGAAATGTCAGAGGATTTAGTAAGCAAATATTTAACAGGTATCTTGTTATTGGCTCAATTATTTTCCTCCCCCAATTGCTGTTCTGAAGACCTTATTTTCACTACTGCAGAATATGATGATTTTTGAACATGGGGATCTTTATAGAAAAGATGAAGTTAAAATGAGATAATTAGGGTGTTTCCTAATTCAACATGACTGGTATTCTTAAAGGAAATGGAGATTAGGGCAGACACACACGGAGGGAAGGCAATATGAAAGTACACAATGGAGAAGATGATGGCTACAAGGACTTGAGAAAATTCTCAGAAAAATATGGACCACTCCACATCAAAATCTTAGTATTCTAACTTCCAAAATTGTGAGAAAATAAATTCCTTCTTAATCTACCTAGTCTATATTCCATCGTTATTATAGCACTAGCAAACTAATACACACTCACTGAGTCCTAGGCATTATTTGAGGAATCAGTCTCAGTGTGACCTAAATTAGACTGTGTGTTCACCAAAATTTCAGAATTCAGCAGAAATGCATATGGGAATCTAGTAGAAATTTAATGTCAGATTAGTGGATAAAACAGGAAAAGGAGAAGATGTTTTAGAAATGGTAAAACCATTGTGGATATATACCAAAGTTTCCCTATCCATTCATCTACTGAAGGGCATCTGTGTTGGTTCCTCAATTTAGCTATTGTGAATTGTGCTACTATAAAAAAATGATGAGACTGTGTCCCTGTAGTATGCTTCTTTTAAGTCCTTTGGGTATAAACCAAGGAGTGGGATAGCTGGGTCAAATGGTTATTACATTCCAATTTTTCCAAGGAATCTCCATACTGCTTTTCAGATTGGCTGTACTAATTTGCAGTCCCACCAGAAATGTATGATTGTGCCTTTTCCCCCATATTCTCGCCAACTAATTGTTGTTTGTATTCTTGGTCTCTGCCATTCTGACTGGAGTGAGATGAAATCTTAGAGTAGTTTTGATTTGCATGTCTCTAACTGCTAAAGATGTTGAACATTTTTTCATGTTTGTTGATGGATTGTATATCTTCTCTTGAGAAGTATTTGTTCAGTTTCTTGGCCCGTTTATAGATTGGGTAATTTGTTTCTTTGATGTTAATGTTTTTGAGTGCTTTATATATCCTAATGATTAGTGCTCTATCTGATGTGCTTTTGGTAAAAATTTGTTCCCATTCTGTAGCCTTACTTCACCTCACTGATTGTTTCTTTTGCTGAGAAGAAACCTTTTAGTTTGAATCCACCCTACTTTTGATTCTTGATTTTTGGTTCTTGCATTAAAGATGAATTAAATTTTTAATATCTATGCCAAATGAGGTAAACAACAATTTCATTAAGTGGAGGCAAAAGGAATGTTCTTGCTCCTAAGGAATTAGGAGCTTAAGCAGACATGATGAGAATTTGGGCCTACTTTTTCTTCCATTATGTACAAGGTCTCTGGTTTAATTCCTAGGTCCTTGATCTACTTTGATTTGAAATTTGTGCATGGTAAGAGATAGAGGTTTAAATCCACTTTGTTACATATGGATTCCCAGTTTTCCAAGCAACATTTGTTGAAAAGGATATCTTTTCTCCAATATGTTTTTGGCACCTTTGTCTTATATGGGATAGTTGAAATTATATGGGCTTGTTTCTGTGTCCTCTATTTTGTATCATTGGTACACAATGGAATGTTACTCAGCATTAAAAGAAAATAAAATCATGGCATTTTCAGGTAAATGTATGGAGTTGGAGAATATAATGTTAAGTGAAGTAAACCAATCCCAAAAAACCAAAGGCCGAATGTTTTCTTTGATATGAGGATGCTGACATATAATGGCAATGAGGGGGCATGGGAGGAATGGAGGAAATTTATATAGGGCAAAGGGGAGGATTAGAAAGGGAAAGGCCATCAGGGTAGGAAAGATGATGGAATGAGTTAGACATCATTACCCCAAGTACATAGGTGAAGACATGAAAGGTGTAATAATACTTTGTGTATAACCAGAGACTTGAAAAATTGTGCTGTTTATGTGTAATATGAAATGAATTGCATTCTGCTGTTATATATAACAAATTAGAATAAATAATTTAACAAAAAATGAAATGGTAAAACCAAGAGAGATTGTGTTCCAGAACCCAAGTAATGGGGTCTTTGGTCAGTAGGTAGTGTCAGCAGATGAGATGCAGATAAACTGACCTCTGATTTAACTATGTGGAGTCACTGATGATCTTGATAACATGGTTTCAGAGGGAGAGTATCCTGAGGGCCAAGTGGGACAAGTGTGTAAGCAACTTGCAGGGATGGCTTGGACCTCCTGGACACTACAGGTCTCAAACATCACCTCAGCCAAGAGACAGTTTAAACAGGTGATGGCATGACATGTGATGATATAAACAATCATTAGTTTGTTCTCTCTAAAAAAGGCAATTAAATATCAGAGAAAATAAAACACAATGACATATTCTGAAAGAAAAGAGTAATAGGGATGATTAAAACATAGTATAAAGCCTGAATAAGTGTAAACTTGAATTATAGAAACTGAATATTGAAAATGTCCTAGAAATTGAACTTATAATGCATGTGGGAATTTAGAATTTTATAGAAGTTGCATGTCAAAGCAGTGAGTAAAACATGAATTATTAAATGAACGGAATCGAGAAAATAAAGGCCATGTGAAAGAAAATAAACACTTTCTTTATGATGTGATAAATCCAAATTACTCAATACCTAAAAATAAATGATGAAAATATAATCAGAACTTCTTAAACCAAAGAAAATTTACTTTAAGTTTGGAGTGGGAAAGACTTCCAAATTGTAGTACAGAATTGAGATTGAGATTCTTTGACCATTTCTTTATCAAATTGTGTGTTTTCTTATCTCACAGTTTGATTTCTCCATATATTTTGGATCTTTATCCCTTATCAAATGTAGAACTTAGAGATATTTTCTCCCAGTTTGCATTGTGTCTTCACTCTGCTGTTTCTTTTGCTGTGCAAAAGCTTTAAGTTTTGATAGAATTTTATTTATTAATTCTTATTTAGTTCCTGCACTTTGGGGTCAAATTTATGAGGCCATGCTGACAGAAGGAGGAGCCGCGCGAGTCGCTCAGTGCAAACGGAAGGAACCACTGAATACAGATGCTTTGTTTGCAGGTCACCAGACGGATCTCTGGACAAAGCACAAAGTCTCCCCAGCACCCTCCACCTCACCAAACACCCTACATGGGAAACAGACTGAATCCATCTTGGAAAACCTTACTCACCATCAATTGGTGTGCGTGGCTACCATCATGGTTCTGAGGTTGATCAGGTACCCATTTTCCAACTCCCCCATCCATAGCTGTGATAACTCAAAAATTTTCTCCCATGCTTTTGGGGGGTGTATCTCTCAATGCAAAACAGCAACCTGGTTTCCAACTCAGAAACTAAGAGTGGGGAGGCTAAAGATGGAAGCCCAAGACCTCTCACACTGGCTACCTCCACCACCCTGAACGCAGAGATTCAAGCTTGGAATAGACAACTTCACCTACTGGAAGAAAAGAAAACAGAGTCTGAGAGATTATTTTCTTTTGCTTTCTTTTCTTCTCTCTCTCTTCTTATCCATTCATCCATTCTCCTCTACCTTCACCCTGTGGTCCTCACAACTTCAACATATGTGAAACCAAGAACTGTGCATGAAATAGGTCTTTAACAAGGTGAATCACCAGAATAATATAATATAGAGGAATTGCATATGGCCCACCTACCCCCTTTTTTTTTCTTCTTATTTTCTTTCTCCCTCTCTTTTTTCTTTCTTTCCTTGTTATTTTTTCCTTCTTCCTCTTCTATCCCATTTTCAACTCCCTAAATTTTACTATGTATATGCAGGGTAAATTTCTAAATACACATAGGGGTTTGAAATTATACACTCTTTTGGAAATTACCCATCTATTGGTTAGAATTCTCTTCCAAAGTTGCTGAGCTAGATTAGCCCCATTCCCTCACTCCTTTCCCCCTTAACATAATGTCCTACACCTGACCTTTATTTCTCTATACACCACCAGAAATTGTATGCCTTTTATAAAACTAATGACTTTATTTTAAATAACAATTGAACCCAACATCTGTAGACATAGAGTCTAACTGTGTATGTATTACTAATGAAAACTTGCTATTAGATAATATGCTATTGAAGTTGGGACTGTTAACATTGTCTTTCTCCACAAAAGAGAGATTTTGGAAATATACAAGAGAAATATAAATATATAGGGGGAAAACATTAACACAACAGTTACACAAAGCTGGAAAGAAATGTGAGCAGTATGACAAGACAAGGAAAGGAAGGACCACAAACAATGTAGGTCAATTCAACATTTGAAGAGGTAACATCTGCAGCGGAAGGCATTGCAGATAAAGAATTCAGGATATACATGCCTCAGATGATCTAAAATCTCAAGTAAGACATTAGCAGCAAATTCAGTCAATGAAAGATCACTTTGACAATGAATTACATAAACAAATCCAAGAAGCAAAAGATCAACTCTACAAAGAGATAGAGGTTATAAAAACAAACATAAATAAATCCTGGAAATGAAGGGAATAATAAACCAAATTAAAAACTCAAATGAGAGTATTACCAGCAGAGTAGAACACTTAGAATTCAGAACATCAGGCAACAAAGACAAAGTATATCATCTTGAAAAGATTGTAGACAGCTCACTGAGACTGATAATAAACCATGAACAGAACATCCAAGAAATATGGGATAACATAAAGACACCAAATTTAAGAGTTATTGGGATACAGGAAGGTATAGAGAGCCAAACCAAAGAATGAGCAATCTGTTCAATGCAATTATATTAGAAAACTTCCCAGACTTGAAGAATGAAACAGAAATCCAAATCCTGGAAGCCTACAGGATGTCAAATGCCCAAAATCACAAGAGATCCACACCAAGACACATTATAATGAAGATGCCCAACATACAGAATAAGGAGAGCATTTTAAAAGCCACAAGAAAAAGGAAGCAGGTTACATTTAGGGGCAAAACAATCAAGTTAATGGCTGATCTTTCAACACAGACTCTGAAAGCTAGAAGATCCTGGAACAACATATTTCAAATGCTGAAAGATAATGGGTTCCAATCAAGAATCTTGTATCCAGCAAAATTAAGCTTCAGGATTGAAAATGAAATAAAAACCTTCTACGATAAACAAAAGTTAAAAGAATTTGCAGCTAGATAGCCAGCCCTTCAAAACATCCTGGCAAAACATTACATGAAGAGGAAATGAAAAATAACAATAAAAACCAACAGTGGGAGGTAGTACAGTAAAGGAAAAACTAATTAAAGAGGAAAAACAAATCATATTAAATAACAAAAATAAGCAAATATGGCTGGAAGTACAAATCATATCTCAATCGTAACCCTAAATGTTAATGGCTTAAACTCACCAATCAAAAGACATATGCTAGTAGACTGGATTAAAAAATGATCCGATAATATTCTGCCTACAGGAGACTCATCTGATAGGAAAAAAATTACACAGACTAAAGGTGAAAGGTTGGGAAAAATCATACCACTCACATGGACTTTGGAAGCAAGGTCAAATAAAATAGACTTCAAGCCAAAGTTAATCAAAAGGGATAAAGAAGGACACTACATACTGCTCAAGGGAACCATACACCAACAAGGCATAACAACCATTAATATATATGTCCCAAACAATGGTGAAGCTATGTTCATCAAACAAACTCTTCTCAAGTTCAAGAGTCAAATAGACCACAATAATCATGGGTGATTTTAACACAACTCTCTCACCACTGGACAGACCTTCCAGAGAAAAATTGAATAAAGAATCTATAGAGAATCTATAGAACTCAATAGCACAAGTAATAACTTAGACTTAATATATATATATATATATATATATATATATATATCACCCAGCAGCTATTTTATCAAAATGATATATATATATATATATATATATATATATATATATATCACCCAATATCAAGTGGATACACTTTTTATCAGAAGCACATGGATCCTTCTCAAAAATAGACTGTATACTATGTCACAGAGCAACTCTTAGCAAATACATAGGAGTAGAGATACTAGCATGCATTTTATCTATCATAATGGAGTGAAATTGGAAATTAATGATAAAATAAGAAAGAAAAATTTCTATATTACATGGAGAATAAACAATATGCTACTGAATGAACAATGGGTTACAGATGATTTCAAAGAGGAAATTAAAAAATTCTTAGAGTTGAATTGAAACTAGGATACAATATATCAAAATCTCTGGGACACAATGAAAGCAGTACTAAGAGGAAAATTCATTTCATGGAGTTCATTCTTTAGAAGAAGAAAAAGCCAACAAATAAATGACCTCACACTAAATCTCAAAGCCCTTGAAAAAGAAGAATATATCAGCAGCAAATGCAGTAGAAGGCAAGAAATACTTGGGAATTAACTTAACAAAAGAGGTGAAAGATCTATACAATGATAACTACAGAACCCTAAATAGAGAAATATAAGAAGACCTTAGAAGATGGAAAGATGTACCTTGCTCATGGATAGGCAGAATTAATATAATTAAAATGGCCATATTACTACATGCATTTTACAGATTCAATGTAATTCTAATCAAAATCCCAACAGCATTCCTTGAAGAAATAGAAAAAGCAGTTATGAAATTCATCTGGAAAAATAAGAGACCCAGAATAGCTAAAGTAATTCCAAGCAGGAAGATTGAGTCAGGTGGTATTGCTATACCAGATCTTAAACTATACTACAGAGCAATAGTTACAAAAACAGCATGGTACTGGCACCCAAACTGGCCGGTAGACCAATGGTACAGAATAGAGGACACAGAGACCAACCCACAAAATTACAACTACCTTATATTAGACAAAGATGCTAAAAGCATGCAATGGGGAAAAGATAGCATCTTCTACAAATGTTGCTGGGAGAACTGGAAATTCATATGCAACAAAGTGAAATTGAATCCATTTCTCTCACCATGCACAAAAGTTAACTGAAAATGGATCAAAGATCTAGGAATCAAACCAGAGACTCTGCATCTAATAGAAGAAAAAGTTGGCCCTAATCTTCATTACATGGGATCAGGCCCCAAATTCCTTAATAAGACACCTATAGCACAAGAGTTAAAACCAAGAATCAACAAAAAGGATGGATTCATACTAAAAAGTTTTTTCTCAGCAAGAGAAATGAAATGTAAGATGAATAAGGAGCCTACATCCTGGGAACAAATTTTTACTCCACACACCACACACATCAGACAGAGTTCTAACCTCTAGGGTATACAAAGAACTCAAAAAGCTAAACAACAACAAAAAAACTCAATCAGCAAATGGGCCAAGGACCTGAACAGACACTTCTCAGGGGAGGACATATAATCAATCAACAAATACATGAAAAAATTCTCACCATCTCTCGCAGTCAGAGAAATGCAAATTAAAACTACTCTAAGATACCATCTCACTCCGGTAAGATTGGCAGCCATTATGAAGTCAAACAACAACAAGTGCTAGTGAGGATGTGGGGGAAAAGTTACACTCATACACTGCTGGTGGGACTGCAAATTGGTGCAGCCAATTTGGAGAGCAGTATGGAAATTCCTTGGAAAGCTGGGAATGGAACAACCATTTGACCCAGCTATTCCTCTTCTCAGACTATGTCCAAAAGACCTAAAAAATAGCATACTACAGCAACACAAACACATCTATGTTTATAGCAGCACAATTCACAATAGCTAGACTGTGGAACCAACCTAGATGCCCTTCAATGGATGAATGGATAAAAAAATGTGGCATATATATAAAACAATGGAATATTACTCAGCACTAAAAAGAACAAGATCATGGCGTTTGCAGGAAAATGGATGGCATTAGAGCAAATTATGCTAAGTGAAGTTAGCCAATCCCTAAAAAACAAATGCCAAATGTCTTCTCTGATATAAGGGGGGTGTTTCAAAATGGGGTAGGGAGGAAGAGCATGAGAAGAAGATTAGCTCTAGATAGGAAAGAGATTTGGGAGGGATAGGAAGGGAGAAGGAGAATTACATGGAAGATGGAAGGAGACCCTCATCGTTATACAGAATCCATGTATGACTAAGTGAGAAAAAAAGAAGTGTGTAATGTTAGATTGGGTAGAGAGAAGTGAGGGGGAGAGGAGAGGAGGGGTGATTGGAAGGACAGAAGAATAAAATAGACTTTATTATTGCTGTATGTATATACGTGACTCTATGACCAATGTGATTCTGCAACCTATACACTCAGAAAAATGAGAAATTATAACCCTCTGATTCAAATGTATGATAAGTGAAGA